CTGTCCCCAGTCTTCTGGGAATACATTCTGCCTCTGACCACTGGGTCAATATTAAACCACACTGAGACAAACCCATTACTACATTCCCCCTCCCTGGGATTTTTCATTTTGGAGTGGAGTAGAAACTTCCTTTCTCTTGGGTTGCCAGGCTGAGCAGGTACAAATCAGGACTGTTTGTGGAAAAACAAAACAAAAAACAGAAGACAGTTCTGAGATTCCCAACCAAACTCCCGGTTCAAGGTACAAATAAAGCAGCTTCATCCTGGTTCTTCCTGGTTACATCAGCTTGTTTGTGAGACTTTTTGTCTTTTTTCAACCACAAAGCCATGACTAATACAAACACTATAATAAAACATGTAAACAGATAACAAACATGTTATAGATTGGGGTGTCCAATCTTTTGACTTCCCTGGCCACAATGGAAGGGGAGGAATTGTGTTGAGCCACATGTAAAATACACTAATGCTAATGATAGCTGATGAGCTAAACAAAAACCAAAAAACCACAGAAAGACGAAAAAAAAAAAAAAATCTCATAATGTTTTAAGAAAGTTTACAAATTGGTGTTGGGCTGCATTCAAAGCCATCCTGGGCCACATGCAGCCCACAGGCTGCGGGTTGGACAAGCTTATTATAGATATTATTAGCTGTGTCTTAAAAGTATTGTTTTCAACCCCATCAAAAAGTGGGCAAAGGATATGAACAGACACTTTTCAAAAGAAGACATTTATGCAGCCAACAAACATATGAAAAAAAGCTCATCATCACTGGTCATTAGAGAAATGCAAATCAAAACCACACTGAGATACCACCTCACAGCAGTTAGAATGGCGATCACTAAAAAATCAGGAGACAACAGATGCTGGAGAGGATGTGGAGAAATGGGAACACTTTTACACTGTTGGGAGTGTAAATTAGTTCAACCATTGTGGAAGACAATATGGTGATTCCTCAAGGATCTAGAAATAATAGAAATACCATTTGATCTAGCTATCCCATTACTAGGTATATACCCATAGGATTATAAATCATTCTACTATAAAGACAAATGCACACGTATGTTCACTGTGGCACTGTTTACAACAGCAAAGACCCAACCCAAATGCCCATCAATCATAGACTGGATAAAGAAAATGTGGCATATATACACCATGGAATACTATGCAGCCATAAAAAAGGATGAGTTCATGTCCCATGGATGAAGCTAGAAACCATTATTCTCAGCAAACTGACACAGAAACAGAAAACCAAACACTGCATGTTCTCACCCATAAGTGGGTGTTGAAAAATGAGAACACATGGACACAGGAAGGGGAACATCACACACTGGGGCCTTTTGGGGATTTGGGGGGCTACGGGAGGGATAGCAGGGGGTAGGGGCATTGCGGAGGGATAACATTAGGAGAAATACCTAATGTAGATGACGGGGGGATAGATGCAGCAAACTACCATGGCATGTGTATACCTATGTAACAATCCTGGATGATCTACACATGTACCCCAGAACTTAAAGTATAATAACAAAATTAAAATAAACAAAATGTTCAAATCTTCAAAAACATATATTGTTTTCTCTTCCCTCCCCTTTTTTTTTTTTTTGGCATGTTAAACCTTTTCATTCTGTTATTATAAAATAAATTTCCTTAAACCAAAGCTTCCTTATTTTTCAGCACTTATACAAATAATACATTTCCCTATATTTTAATTTTATTTAACAAATAATGATTAAGCTTATGACTCTTTGAGGCATAAATGTCAAATCAAAGAGTTCTCTTAAAAAGATGGAATCACCCGTAGATGATAATGTTTAAAAATGAAAGCTGCAATAATAACTTAGTACCAACAGTAATAACAGCAAAAATTATTGATAATGATCATTTACTGAATATCTGTGTGTTCCAGGAAGTTTGTATGTTATCTATCTTAATAATCCTCACAACACTTTGAGGGTAACACTATCCTCATTCCTCACATTGTAAGGGAGGCAGCAGAGTGATATTAATGTGTGCAACCAGCCTGAAATGGGTGGAGCTGTGATTCAATCCAAGATAGTATGATTCTTTCTATATCCCTGTTGCCTCCTCAGAGACTGCCTTGGATTGGTACATCACAGCTGTCTGATGTTCCATAAAAGACATTACCCTTTTTTCTTACTTTTTAAAGTGACAATTCACATTATATTTCATTGGCAATTCAAAAATATATTGCTTTTCTTCATAGGGTCCTGTGTGAAAACATGTTAGAGATGTAGCAGATTTAAATGAGGCGGGATAAGACCTGGAGAACAGCAGATATATTATCCTGCCCCTAGATCTTAATTTAGGCTCTCTGAAGAACATTTCATGAAATCCAGACCCCTTATTAATTATTCAGCCTGGTGTCCCCACCAATATGCTATTTTTTCTGTAACAAAGCCACAGCTAATGATTTTAAGTTTTATGAAATGTAGATTCCCTGCTAAAACAAATTATTCTCTTTTTTTTAAAGGAAGAATCAGCTGGTACTCAAGAAAAACCTCAGCTGGTTATTTTGGCCACCAAAGTGGTCCACATTTCCTCTGGCTTTGAGCATTTTCATTTGATCATCTACAACGCAGAGCTTATATTTATTTTAAGCTTTAAACTCTCTGCATTTGTTCCATTTAAGATGAAGGAACAAATATGGAGACAAATCCTGGTCTCATAAAACTATCTCCTTTATTTCAATGAACTCTTTAATTTGTATTACTTCTAAAAGATGTATCAGTTTTGAAGATATTTTCAGTAAATTGACAGAAAATGGATGTTTTCTAATACTGTTACATTTGCTAAGCTTCTTTGACCAGACATTTGTACTTATTCCTCCATCTGCTTGTGACTCCATCTTATCTTTCTGACACCAATTAGAAAATGAGAAAGCTGCCTAAAATGCCTTTAAAAAATTTTTTTAAAAGAGAGACAGGTTCTTGCTCTATCACCCAGGCTGGAGTGCAGTGGCACAATCATAGCTCACTGCAGCCTCAATCTCCTGCACTCAACTGACCCTCTGGCTTCAGCCTCCTGAGTAACTAAGACTACAGTTGTGTGCCACCATGCCCAGCGAATTTCTTTATATTTTTTTTATAGAGACAGGGTCTCACTATGTTGTCCAGGCTGGACTCCAACTCCTAGCCTAAAGCGATCTTTCTGCCTTGGCCTCCAAAAGTGCAGGGATTACACAGGTTTGAGCCACCATGCCCGGCCCAGCTTATTTTTATTTAATCAGATTTTAATTGATCTTTAAGATTTCTTAATTTATCTTTTAAAATAATTATTTCTTTAATCCATGTAAAATGGATTTATGTAAAAATTTTAAAATGCAGGTAAGTAAAATGAATAAAACATAAAAATAAAATGACCTTTACCCTAACTATTCAGAAATAATCCCTGCTAACAGTCTTAATTAATCTTCCAGGTATTTATGTATGGACCTATAATAAATACCAATACTATATGTCTTTAAAAATCAGATGCATGCTGTACATGCTGTTTTGAAATTATTTATATCAGTATACCATAAGTGACTTTCTGTCTAATATTAATTATACATCTATAACCATTTTTAGCATCTGCACATTATTTTATTTTTTAGGTATATTCTGAATTTTTTAATCAATCTCCTACAATTAGCTAATTTAGTTATTTTCATTAACAACTTCGAACAATGTTGTCTTTGGGTCATGTAACCTAGCAATCAATTAGGAATAATATTTCTAGCAGTGGCATTTCTAGATCAAAGGGTATAAACACCTCAAAAGATTTTATATATTGTCATACTATTGGCAGATTGTACCAATTTACCCTCCTATTAGCAGTATCTAAGAATGTCTACTTCTCTTCATCCCTCTTTTTAATCTTTGCCACTGTAACAAGTAAAAAGGCACTTTCACTCATCAATTGTGTTCCCCTAATTATGGTATGCTGAGATTTACCTTTAAAATTCATTTTAGATACTTGGGAGGCTGAGGCATGAGGATCACTTGAATCTGGCAGGCAGAAGCCGCAGTGAGCTGAAAATGTGCTACTGCACTCCAACCTGGATGACAAAGCAAGACTCTGTCTCCAAAAAAAAAAAAAAAATCTAGAGACAAACTTATGGAATGGTGGAATAAAGACCTCTAAAAACCTACCCTTCCACAAAAATTGTCAATACCAGCTTTTTCAGATATCTGGAAATTAACCACATGCTTGCAACAACATAACATTTATTCAAGAAAAACAGCTGAATCTAAGTGACAATAGCTTGCTTTATGGTGTTTTAACTGGTGTTCCTCCCATCTCCCTTTTCCAGTTCTGCAACAGCCTTGAAAACCAACAGCTTCTCAGTCACGGTAGCTGTGAAAACCAAAAGTAACACATTAAATGTAAATGAACTAAACATGTCAATGGGCAGAAATTGGCAAGATGAATAAGAAAATGACCAAACTATATGCTGGCGACAAGAGATGCAACTTAAATTGAAAGACACATTAAATGGGTTAAAAGAAAAAGGACAGAAGAAGACATACTATGCAAACAGTAGCCAAAAGAGAGCTAGACTGGTATCAGACAAAATAGACTTCAGAGTAAAAATTATTACTAGAGATAAATAAGTACATATAATAAAGATTAAGTCAATCAAGTAGGCATAACAATTGTATACTTGTAATAACAATGTGTGTGCTGAACAACATAGCCACAAAATACATGAAGCAAAAATTGACAAAACGGAAAGAAACAGACAATTCAACAATAGTTTGAGACTTCAAGATTCGTTTTCAATAATGCATAGAACAAAAAGAATATCCACATACCCACAAACAAAAAGAAGATGAAAAATACTGTAATCCAACTACAACTAACATATCTCAATAGAACACTCTACTGAACAACAGCAGAATATACATCTTCTCGCATATTCAGATGGCAATACTCCCCAAACTGATCTACACAGTCAACAGCATTCATCCCTATCAAATCCCAGGTGGCTTTCTTTTTTTTTTTCCCAGAAACTGACAAGCTAATCTCAAAATTTATGTGGAAATGTAAAGGACCTAAATAGTCAACACAATCTTAAATAAGAATATAGGTGAAAGATCCACACTTTCTGATTTCAAAACTTACTACAAAAGACAGTATGGTATTGACTTAAAAAGGGACATGTGCATCAGTGTAACAGAACTAAGAGTCCAGAAATAAACCTTTATGTTCATGATCACCTGATTTTCTTCATGGGGGCCAAGACAATCCAATGCAGAAAGAATAGTCTGATAGTAAATAGTTCTGGGACAACTGGAAAACCACATGCAAAAAGAATAAAGTTGGGCCTTTTCGTACACCATAAAAAGATGGTCCTGACTTACAATAGTTCAATTTAAGATTTTCAACATTATGATGGTGCGAATGCAATATATATTCATTAGAAACTGTAATCTCATTGTAAATCAAAGAGCATCTGTACAAAAACCAACTCAAAATGAATCATATACTAAAATGTAAGAGCTAAAACTACAAAACTATTAGGAGAAAACAAAGGTGTAAATCTTTGTCACACTGCATTAGACAACTTCCTTAGATATAACACCTAAAGCACAAAACAAACAAACAAAAAAATAGATAACCTGAACTTTACCAAAATTAAAAGCCTTTGTGCTGCAAAGGATACTACAAAGAAAAGTGAAATCCCCACAGAATAGGAGAATATATTTGCAAATAATATTTCTGATAAAAGTCTAGTCTCTTTATATATAAAGAACGCTGACAATGCAATAAAAACACAAGTCTACTAAAAATAGGCAGAGGATCTAAGTAGATATTTCTCCAAAGAAGCTATACAAATGCCTAATAAACACCTGAAAACCCCATTAGTCTTTCGGGGAATAAAATCACAGTGAGATACCATCTTATAACCACTAGGATGACTAAAATAAAAAAGACAAACAATAACAAGTGTTGGCTAGCATAAGGAGAAACTGAAACCCTAATACATTGCTGGTAGGATTGTAAAATGGCATAGCCACATTAAAAAGAGTTTGGTAGGTTCTGAAAATGTAATCATAGAATTACCAAATGATCTAGGAATTCTAGTCCTAGGAATACAACCAAGAGAAGAGAAAATCATTTGAATAATTTGAATTACATGTTCTCAGAAAAAACTGCATATGAATGCTCACAGCAACATTATTTGTAATAGCCAAAAAGAAAGTATAATCAACTCAAGTATCCATCAATAAGTGAAGCTAAATAAAAACTTTTATTTTTCTTACTCTTATTTGATCTGATAACAGTTCTAATAACAGCAAGTGTGTTCAATTATATATGTTTTTATATATGCATACTTTTATATATGTTTACAAGCACACGCGCATGTCCTCTATATTAGGGAAATTAATGACAGCAATGATGCAAGGGATAGAAGAAAAGAATTAAAAGTATTTTGTTATTACAAGGTACTTGTGCTACCCATGAAGCAGTATAGTATTCTTTGAATGTGGACCTGGATTAGTTGTAAAAGTATGCTGCAAACTCTAGGACAGCAACTAAAGTTAAAAGTATAGTTAAAAAAAGTATAACAGATATGCTAAAAAAGGAAAGAAAATGAAATTATATAAAATGGTCAATTAAAACCACTAGAGGTAGAAAAAGAACAGAAGACAAAAATAGGAATAAAGAAAAAGGGGAAACTAGAAAACTACAACAAACATGGTAGATGTTATTGTAACATATTAGTATGACATAAACATATTTTAAATGTCAATGGTCTACATACACCAAGTAAGGGACAGAGATGGCCAGAATGGATCAAAAAACAAGACCCACATACATTGTCTATAATAAATCCACTTTAACATAAAGATATAAATAGAATAAAAAACAAATGAAGGAATATATATGACACTAATACTAATGAAAAGACAAGCAGCAATACACAAGTAGCTATATTAATTTCAGAAAGAGCAGGTTTCAAGGTAAGCAAAGTTATTAGGCCTTACGTAACAATAAAGGGGTCAATTCTCCAAAAAACTGTAACAATCCTTAATGTGTATGTGCCTAACAAAAGAGCATCACAATATGTGAGGGAAAAACTGATATAACATCAAGGAGAAACAGATAAATCCACTATTACAGTTAGAAACTGCAACATCCATCTATCAGAAATGGACAGATCCAGCAGGCAGAAAATCAGTAAGAACATAGCTGAATTCAACAATGCCATTAATCAACTGGATATAATGGTCAGCTGTTGATTACTTTATCCAACAACAGCAGAATGTACATCCTTCTCAAGCTCACAGGTAACAATCACCAAGACAGACCACATTATGGGCCATAAAACATACCTTAACAAATTTAAAAGAATGGAAATCACACGATATCTGTTTTCATACCACAATGAAATTAAACTAGAAAACAGTAACCAAAAGATAGCTGGGAAATTCCCAAATACATGGAGATTAAACAGTACACTTCTACATAATACATGGGTAGTCAAAGAAGTTAAAAAGTATTTTGAACTAAATGAAAAATTAAAATACAACTTAACACAATGTGAGTCCATGCTTTGAGAGAAATTTATAGTATTAAATGCAAATATTAGAAAAGAAGAAAGATCTAAAATCATTAACTAAATTTCCACCTCAGGAAACTAAAAATAGAAGAGCAAAATAAATCCAAAGCTTGCAGAAGAAAATAAGTAATAAAATTTAGAGCAGAAATCTATGAAATTGAAAACAGGAAGTCAACAGAGGAAAATCAATGAAACCAAAGCTGATTCTCTGAAAAGATCAATAAAACCAACACGCCTCTAGCCAGGTTAACTAAGGAAAAAAAAAAGAAGAGAGAAGGCACAAATTACTAGTATTAGAAATGAATGAGTGATCACTACAGATCACATGGACGGTAAAAGGATAATCAAGGAAAACTCTATGCCCAAAATTTGGCAACCTAGATAAAACAGACCAATTCTTTGAAACACACTTTGCCAAAGCTCCTATATAATAAAAGAGATGATCTGAATAGGCCTATATTCAGTAACTGACATGCAATCAACAATTAATAACCTTCCCGAACAGTAAAGAGCAGGCCCAGATGGGGTCACTGATCTTTTTCTTTAAAACAAATTTTTTAAATTAGCCCATAATAATTGTACATGGTGTGTACACAGTGATATATGGGTACATAGTGATATAGCAATATATATAATGCATAATGATCAGATGACAGTAATCAGCATATCCATCATCTCAAGCGTTTATCATTTTTTTTGTGTTGGGAACATTCAATATCCTCCTTCTAGGTATTTCAAAATATACAACATTTCATTGGAAAGTACAATCATCCCATAGTGCTATAGGACATTAGAACTTATTCCACTTATCTACCGGTAATTTTGTATCATTTAACAAATCTCTCCCTATCTCTCCCTCCCCATATTCTTCTCAGCCTTTAGTATCCTCTGTTCCACTTTTTACTTCCATGAGATCTACAATTTTTTTTAAGCTTTCACATATAAGCATATGCAGTGTTTAACTTTCTGTTCCTGGCTTATTCCACTTAATGTAATATCCTCCAATTCTAACCATGTTGCTGCAAATAACAGGATTTCATTATTTTTTTTTATGGCTGGATAGTACTGTGCAGTGTGTATATATTCTACATTTTCTTTATTCATCTGTTGATAGGCACCTAGGTTGATACATTGGCTATTGTGAACAGTGCTGCAATCAATATGGGGGTATAGATCTCTCTGATATAATGGCTTCTCTTTCCTTTGGATAAATGCCCCACAGTGAAATTGCTGGACTATACGGTGGTTCGATTTGTAGTTTTTTGAGGAACCTCCATATTATTTTCCACAGCAGCTGTATTAGTTTACGGTCTCACCAATAGTATACAAGAGTTCCTTTTTTTCCACATCCTCATCAACATCTGCTATTTTTTGTCTTTTTGATAATGGCCTTCCTAACCTGGGTGAAATGATACTTCATTGTGGTTTTAATTTGCATTTGCTAGATAATTAGTAATGTTGAGTATTTTTTTCACATATTTGCTGACTATTTGTGTGTCTTCTTTTGAGAAATATCTCTTTGGATCATTTACTCATTTATTAATTGGATTTTTTTAAATTTTTGCTGTTAAGATGTTTGAATTCCTTGTATATTCTAGATATATATTAACCCCTGTTGGATGAATGCTTTACAGATATTTTCTCCCATTCAGTAGGTTCTTTTTACTCTGTTGTTTCCATCGCTGTGCAGAAACTTTTTAGCTTGATATAATCTCATTTATTTTTGCTTTTGTTGCCTGTGCTTTTTAAGTCTCTTTTTTTACATTCAGAATTTGTATTTTAAAACAAAGAATCAGAGTAACATTAATAATAGAAAATCCATATGGAAATACTCACAATCTGCTCAGTGAGAAATGGGAAAACAACTTCCCTGCCTTACTGTCAACCTACTGTTTGAGGAGCCAGAAGTAGACAAGAAGTTGGAAGGTCACCTTTTCCAGCAAAACTCCATTCCATAGCTACGCGCATTTTTATTCAAAGGCTCTATGACCAGAGGGAACAGTGAGAACCAAGAACCAAAATACTGTTATTGGCAAGGGTTTGGCTAAAGGGTCTGAGACGTGTAAGCACCAAGAAGGAAAAGGGAGATTGAGCAACATAAGAAAAAGGGGCTGTAGGAACAAGCACAGAGAAAACAAGTAAACAAGAACCTACTTCGACTCAGAGCAAAATGACAGTGCACAGTGCACACACATTCATCCCCTCAAGTGTGGGCTACACTGCACAGTGACTCAACTATCTCAAACATGGTCTATCGGAAGGATTCAAGTCCCCTAAGGGCACTTGGCATAAGACCACAGTGACATGGTAACAGACATACACAAGCATGCTGTGACCCTAAAGCAACAACACATTTTAGATAATAATGGTTCAGAAAAAATCCTCTCCCAGAGCTGAGGTTACAAATTCAAAGTTAGCTATAAATATTCTTTGGGGAATTCCTTGAAAGGTATGAGTTAAAACAGCAAATCAACAACTAAAATCTCCTAAAGAACAAAAAGGAGAAATAATGAATTTCTACCAAGAACCAATTATTTTAGGTTTTTCATTTGGATGGCTCTCCCACCAGATAGGTGGTGGGATTACTTCAAAGGTAATGAGTCTATTACAAGGAAGAGTTGTTTGGTCCGGTGAGGGGAACAGGCTTTCTAGAAATAACTTTCTCTTCCCTCAACTCCATCCAAAATTAGAAACTATCAATCACCATTAACTACAATACCCATATTAGTTAATAATCCTAGATTTCAAGTACTACATGTAAACTATTATCTTGAAGAAAAAAGTTCCAAAGGAAATCAGTAGCTTTATTATATAGGCATATGGCTTTTATGAGAAATTAAACTTATGAGTTTCCATCTGAAGGACAGAAATTGTTCAGAGGTAACGTGCAGACCTCAGGCACCACATCATTTACCCTCCAATAATGAACTACATCTCTCCCTAAATGCTTCTTATTGCACTTTAACCTCTCCAGCATCCAATCTTTTACTCTTTAGCCTCTCTTTAAGCACCTCCTTCTAATCTCAATTTCCTTCTGTTTTTTTATCTGGCAAAATTACACTTAAAAAAATAAAAATTTCCACCATGGCACATGTATACCTATGTAACACATGTGGACATTCTGCACATGTATGCCAGAACTCAAAAAAAATATATATGTGATTAAACCATAAGATATAAATAAAACTCAAGTTATTTGCTGTGTGGAGCTGTATGGAAGTGAGGAAGGTGCTCTTACATAAACTCCCTCTGCCTTCCACATTCATGTGTGTATCTGCTTCCTGATAAGTCTGAGGTTGGGGGAACTGCACCTTACTTTTCCTCTGCTATATCCCCTAGTGCAGAAATATTAGAACCCAAGGGAGTAAAAGCTGGCAAAGTTGTCATATGCCAAGAGGCCAATCCCTCCTGAAATGAAGGTAGGTTCACTTGGTCTCTCCTAAGCAGAAGAGAATGTCCAGGAAATAAAATATTTTAAAAGCCATTGAAAATCCAACAAACCCCAGCCTTGGGGTGCTCAAGGAGTGCATGGGGTAAGAAATGAATCAAGAATCAGCATTCAGAAGCAGTCCTGGGCTCATCCTGATGAGGTTACTCTGTCATTCAGAGACAGGTGGCTTTCCCATGATGCGAGGGAGGTGGAAGGAGGCATGAGTGAGACATTGGTGGTGGTCTCCTTAGCAGGCTGGAGGCTGTTTATCTCCACGATGCCATCCTTCCTGGATCTATCTGCACCATGTGCCTGCCCTTCAATGGCCTGCATGATATCCTCAAAAGTCCTGCCATGGTCTCAGGGACTTTGAAGAAGGTAAAGGTCAAAAAGGTAATGAGGAAGCCAGTGAAGATAATAAAAACTTAGGCTCCTAAATAGCAAGCAGCAGAGGGAAGGAGCAATCCAACAAGGAAGTTGGAGGTCCACTTGCAGCAGCCGACAACTGCCATCACAGCTGGGCAGGGGCCCCGACTGAAAAGTTCAACCACAATAAACCAGGGAATAAAGACCAAGATAGCCCTAATAGAGACAAAGCTCATCCCATTACAGTCATTCTTTAATAACAAAAAACAGTCGTGTGTATGGGACAAAAAGCCATCCCTCCAAGGTCTATGACACACAGAGTCCTTCTTCCTGCCCTTTCCACCAGAAACAGGAAAACTACAGTGAAGACAGTATTAGCCACACCTGCGCCAAAGGTGGCATAGATGGGTTCTTGAACACCTGCATCCTTGAAGATTCCTGTTTAGTAACAGAACACAGCATTGATTCCAGAGAGCTGCTGAGAGAGCTGGAGCACAATGGAAATGATGATGGGCTGTCAGCAGCTGGATACTCTAAAGAGTTCCAGCACGGTGACTTGCTTTTCTTGTGACATTCTTGCATTCTCATCGTTCATCTCCTGGATGTCTTGGGATACATCCTGGGTGTCCCACAACCACTGGAGGATCTACTAAGCATTTTCCGCTTCTTTTCTGTTAATGAGCAAAAATCTGGGACTTTCAGGGCAAAATGGAAGGGCTGCACTTTGTAGGATAGCAGTAAGGATGGTAAAGCCCAATAGCACTGACCACAGCCCTTCAGACCCAAGGATGAATTCCAGACCAAAGACCTGGGCCACCAGAATTCTGACAACAATGCCCAGCTGGTTTAGAGTACCAAAGGCACCCTGCAGGGCAGTAGGAGAGATCTCTCCCATGTACATGGGCACAAAACCTGAGCATAGTCTGCAGAAGTGGTCAATAACTAAGTGGCCCAGGATCAGCATTTCAAGCAACTCAGCTACTTGACACAATCCCATAAGGCAGCCACCAGTGACAGCCAACAGGTTAACGATCAGCATTGAATTGCATCTGCCAAAGCGGATGACAAAGAATCCGACGTAAAAGGAGCCAATCATACCACCAATGGAGATGGCCACAGACAAGGACCAGAGAGACATGAGCAACATCTCAGAGGGAGGGGTATTTTCCTTGTCCCTCAAAGTGCTATTGATAAATTCCTTTATGATCATCTCAGGAGCATTGATGACCCCAGCATTGTAGCCAAATTGGAAAGAGCCAATTGTAGCAACTGTGTTGGCAAAGATCAGAGCTGGGGTAACCTCTGTGTCCCCATGGCCCTAATCTAATTCTTTTCAAGTCTTCAAGAAAGATTTAGGAGTGTGATTCCAGACACATTTTTCAACCAACGAATCCTTCAAAATGTCCTTCTCAGCAACGGGTTTTCTCCAGGTCCTCAGGAATGCTCTAAACTCTTACCATTACAGCATTTCTTTGAAGTCTTATTCAAAAAATCTTTTCCCAGACCTGTGTCCTGATGTTTCCCCTATGTTTTCCTCTAGTAGTTTTGTCTTTTATATTTAGGTCTTAGATCCATTTTGCATTGATTTTTGTAAAGGGTGGGATATGGGGGTCTAGTTTCATTCTTTTGCATGTGGATATCTAGTTTTCCCAACACCATTTACTGAAAAGACTGTCCTTTCCCCAATATATGTTCTTGGAACCTTGTCAAAAATCAGTTGGTTATAGACATGGGGGTTTCTGTGATTTCTACCAAAGACTTAAAAAAGAAATCTTAGTAATTGTCTATAATTTATTTCAGAATATAGAAGCAGAGGAATACCTTCTAACTCATTCTTTGAGGCCAGCATTAACCTAATACCAAAATAAGACAGTCATTACGAGAAAGCTACAGACCAATAACTCTGATGACACAGATATAAAATTCCCAAAAAATATTAGCAAATCACATCTAACAACATATAAAAATAATTACACACCATAGCCAAGGGGATTTATCCTAGGTATGCAAGGCAGGTATAACATTTGGAAATCAATTAATGTAATCCACAGGTCAATAGGTTAAGAAAAAAATCAGGCCGGGCGCGGTGGCTCAAGCCTGTAATCCCAGCACTTTGGGAGGCCGAGGCTGGTGAATCACGAGGTCAAGAGATCGAGACCATCCTGGTCAACATGGTGAAACCCTNAAAAAAAAAAAAAAAAAAAAAAAAAAAAATCATATGGTCATACCAACAGATGCAGAAGAAATATTTGACAAAATCAAACACCCACTCATGATAAAAACTTGCAGGAAATTAGGAATAGAAGGGTACTTTCTCAACTTCATAAAGAATATCTACTAAAAAACCTACAGCTAATATCATATTTAATGATGATAAACTAGAAGCTTCTTCTCCAAGATCAGGAACTAGGTGAGGATGTCTCCTCTTAACACTCCTTTTCAGCACTGAACTGGAAGTCTTAGAAAATGTAATAAAATAAGAAAAGGAAATAAAAGGTACACAGATTGGGAAGGAAGAAAACTGTCTCTGCTCTTGTCTGAAAAAAAACTAACTTAAAAACCCATGGAAATATTAACCGATTATAGCTAGATTGTAAGATACTATACAAAAGTCAACTGCCTTCCTATATATCAGAAATAAGTAAAATTTGAAATTAAAAATATAATACCACTTATATTAGCACCCCCAAAAGTAAAATACTTAGGCATAAATCTAAAAAATATATAAGAACTATATGAAGAAAACAATAAAACTCTGATGAAAGACGTTAAAGAGAAATTAAGTGAAGAGGTTGTCTGTGTTCATAGATAAGAAGCCTCCATATTGTCAATATGGCAATTCTTCCAGCGTCATCTACCTATTCAACGCAATCCCAATACAAATCACAACAGTTATTTAGCAGATACTGCCTAGCTAATTCTAAAGGGTACATGAAGAGGCAAAAAGATTCAGAATAGCCAACACAATATTGAAGGAGAACGAATCAGAGGACTGACATTACCTGATATAAAGACTTACTGCAAAGCTACAGCAATCAAGACAGCATGGTACTGGTGAAATAACAACAAATAGATGAGTGGAACAGAAATAAGAGAGTGCCCGAAAACAGACCCACAGAACTGTAGTCAACTGATCTTTGACAAAGGTACAAAGAGATAAAAAAATCTTTTTATCAAATGGCTCTGGAACAACTGAACAACCACATCCTGCCTTCCCACTGCTCGGTCCTCACTGCTTAGGAAAACAAGGATCCTGTTCTTCTAACCTAGGGCTGAGAGGCAGGATACGAGCATTTCTAGTTTGCTTCCTGTATAACTGCATTGTTTTAGCACAGAGCATTTCTGACTTTAAAAAAGAATTATTTTTGAGCTGGGTGTGGTGGCTCATGGCTGTAGTCCCAGCTCCTAGCTACTTGGAGGCTGAGGTGAGAGGATGACTGGAGCCCAGGAGTTTAAGGACAACATGGGCAACACAGCAAGACCCTGTCTCTTAAAAAAAAAAAAATTCTTGGTGACAAAGGAATGATCAGAAATATATAAAAATTTCAAACCAGTAACACACATAATAATGAAGTCTTAAAATAGAGAAGCATGGAATTAGAAGAAATACACAAGTTTACAATTACAGTGGGATATTTGAAAATAAGTTAGTCATTGAGGACAAAACAAATGCACATTTTGTTTTTCAGAGGGCTTTATCTTTTTTTCCTGCAAAAAAGTGAGAGGATGGTTTTTCTTTTCTTTTTTTTCATTTTGGTATACTTTTATGAACCAACCAAGCTACACAAAATACTTTTATGATGCAATACTTTTATATTTGATATCTATCACACAGTGTATACAATTTATACTTTGCATATATTTTTATTTTATTCTATTTAGGATTAATGTATATCTTAAAATAAAAGTTTAATATATTTCAATTTTCCCCAAAGTTCCCAAATTATATAACTGGGTAATTCCTACCCAAGTGATTTCAGTATTGACAAAAAATTTTGTGTCAGTGGCTACGTTTAATTATATTTTATATTATATATTAATATAATAATAATATATATAATATTTTTTCAGTGTATTCAGAATTGACAGAATTTATAAAACATGAAATGATACAGATAATTCAAAAACAAAAAATTTGTTACAATAAAATATAAATGTTGTACACTATAACTGAAGGGAAAGGTTCCTTAAGGGGGACATGATAAAAGACAAACTTTAAAAGACTGATAAATTCAATGTAGTGAAAGTCATCAAAGAGCAGAAGTTATTTGCAAACAGTGAACTTACAAAGGATGTGCATCACTAATTTATAAAGAATTCCTCTATATTAATAATAAAAAGGGCAGAATAATAAGAAAAACTAACATAGAATTAAATAAGACTTCAAAAAGATTTCCATGGCAAAGTACTCAAACTGATTTTAATTAGGGAAAGACAAATTCATACCACAATGATATGCTATTATACACCCAACTGAATGTCTGAAATTTAAAAGCTGATCTACGTTGTCTAAGGTATGGATCAACAAGAACACACACACTGTTGGTGGGAGTACCAATTCTTCCAATGTTTAAACTGTTTGGCAGTGTCGTTGGGCTGAATAGTGACTCTCAGAAAGGTATGTTTATGTCCTAACCCTAGAACTTGTGAATGCAATCTTATTTGTCAAGAGGGTCTTCGCAATAAGGATCTTGAGATGAAATCATCTTGGATTATGTTGGTGGGCCTTAAATCCCAACCACACTTGTAGGACAAGTCTTTAGAAGACACAGGAGAGGAGAAGATGGATACAGAGGAGAAGGCCAGGTGAAGACAGAATCAGAGATAAGAGTTATGCAGCCACAGGAATGCCAACAGTCACCAGAAGCTGGAAGAGAAAAAGTAGAGATTCTCCCCTGGAGCCTTAGGAGGAATTTTAGCCCTGCCAACACCTTGATTTCAGACTTCTAACCTCCATAATGAGAAGAATAAGTTTCTGTTGTTACCCACTTAGTTCGTGGTGCTTTGTTTAAAGAGCCCTAGAAAGCTAATACAGGCAATATCTACCATAGTTGAACATATGTATTCCCTGTGAACCATCACAGGGAGCTGCTGATAATATCTATTTCTTGTGATGGATGGTGACTACATGGGTGTGTTCACTTTGCGACAATTCATCAAGCTGAATACTTATAATCTATATACTTTTCTATACATGTATATGCCAATAAAAACATTATTAAAAACAGTAAAAAATAACCGTCAGTATGACAGTTACTGTGAGTTAACTGATCATGCAGACAGGAAATTAAATTTAAATAACTCAGTTTGTTATAACAGACATAATACAGAATTTTGCACCCCAAAATGTGAAATCACAATCTGAAGTACCTGTGAAGTACTTATTTGATGAGCTGATCTTAAAATTCAAGTAAAAGGGTAAAGGACCAAGAATAACCAAGAAAGCTCCAAAAAACAATGTAGACAGATAGATTTTATCTACTCGATATTAAGATTATTGTAACTATTGATTTGATAACTTTTATATTGGTATAGAATTGGTAAGCAGATCAACCAAATAGCCCAGAGAAAGACCTGTGCATATAATAAAATTTGATACATGTCACATGTATCATTATTATCAATGGGAAGGAACAAAATTAGAAGACTTAACAAATTAAAAAATGTATCTGCTTAAAGCCTCAAAGAACTAAAAGGTAGTGAAGAATTACCAGGCCAAGATTTGGGAAAGAAAAATAGGTCTAGAGAAGTGAGCACAGTATTTGGAGTCAATTTTCCCATGAAGGTATTTACTGTTTCTGGAAGCAGCAGCTGAGAGGCTGAAGGGATGGGACTCCAGTGAAGCATCTTTGCATTGCACTGCAGTTATTCACCAGGAAGACATGCCTGAGTAAACAAGCATAGGCAGGGATGACAGCTCAGCTACCTAGTCACCAGAAGGCTAAAATGGAACAGACATAAGATGTGAAGTGAGAGGAACTTTCAGACATTGCTAAGAAGGTAAATTGTTCATTCATTTTGGAAAATACTTTGGTTTTATCCATTAAATCTAAAGATATGATTACTCTATGAGCTTGTACTACTACTACTAGGTACATATCCACCATAAATGTACAACCATGTACACTGAGAGACACATCGGTGATTATTCACATCAGCATTATTTGTAATAGCCCCAAACTGGAAACACACCCAGAAAGTCCATAAATAGTAAAATGGGTAAATTGTAGTATTTTCATGCAACAGAATACTACATAACAGTATAAATGAGTGAATTATATAGAATACATATACCTTACAGACATAATATTGAGCAAAAGAATCCAGACACAAAAGGAAACATACTCTTTGCTATCCTTTACATAAAAGTTTAAAATAACATACTGTCTTTACAAGATTCAAAAAATACACTACTTGTGTCTCTTTGTATAAAAGTTAAATTAAAACTAAACTATGGTATTTAGGGAAGCAAAATGTGTTAAAATTGAAAAGAATGGGGAGGAGGGAAAAACTAAAAAGAAAAGAAAAATAATTACCTGGGTGAGTAGTAGCTACCTGGCAGGAGAGGGCATTTGCAGGCATCAATGGTCTTGGCAAAGTCCTATTTCTTGAAAGCGCTGTTAAACAGATGTCTGCTTTTGTGATAAAGCACTGCTGTATATTTTGTGTGTACTCTTCTTTATGTGTGTGTATTTCACAATTATAAAGGTAAAAAAAGTGAAGAAAAGATGGATGCGCTTACCATTCAATAAATGGTATTGACACAACTGATAAAAGAATAGCACGAAAATATTAAACCCTTACTTCCTATCATGCATAAAATCAATTATACATATTTAGGAAGCCTATGACAAGCAAAACCTTATAACTTCAACTAGAAAGTAAGCGATTCTATCTTTATATTCTTAGGGAAGAAAAAGAATTCTTGAAGAAAATACAAAAATATAACCAATAAAAGAAATGAGTGAGTTGATCACATTAAATTAAAACCTTTCTATTGGCTGGGCACAGTGGCTCACACCTGTTATCTCAGCACTATGGAAGGCTGAGGTGGGTGGATGACCTGAGGTCAGGTGTTCAAGACCAGCCTGGCCAACATAGTGACACCCAATCTC